GCAGTTTCAATGTTTTCGAATAAAGACGATCTAGATTTGGATATTTTGTTTTACAAGAAATAAAGAAATAAAATTTCACTTCCTCTCGATGATACTTTCTCTTGTTTCATCTGATTGTATTCTCTTTTTTTTTATAATTCCATCGGCTTCAACTAAACTTTTGTATGATTCCAAAGTATCTGCGGTCGATCGAGAAATACGAAAGTAGTCGGAATCTAATAGTTTGTCTCTGTCGTGCCATTCACTTGGAAGAGCATGACACATCAAACAGTGAGCTCCGCCTAAACCACTTTCGGCACTACAAACTTTCAAATCTTTCATTGAATCAATTGTTATTATATTGATGTGATAAGTTTTTCCATTTACAGACAGGTCCATTCCGCTTTCTTGCAAGTGCTTATCCTGAGGTTCAAATACTTCATTAACATATTTTACAAGTTCTGGACTTTCTTTTTCGACCACAATTAGCAATAGACGTGTGCAGAATGAACTATTTGGTGTTTCATTACACCACACAACAGTTTTCGAAATACCATCCGACAGAGCCAGCGGCACGATCATGCGACAAAAGATGTTTGGACCGGACATCGGGTTGTCTTTCGCTTTGTAAATTACTTGGCTACCTGCGCCGTCGTGACGAGTGGCACGTCTTGTCCGTGTTTTATCAAAGATTCGCGAAGCCTACCCAAAGTCAATTCGGTAGCTTGTCTCATACTTTCCACTACTACTCTCTAAAAAAAATCCGTAGCTTACAGAACGAATATCGGTTTTGGCATTTCCTCCTAATAGAAACCGATATCCGTATCGTACGGTCCTGCATAACCGTTTCGCAGAATACGCTTCGACGTTTTTTGCCTTGTGAAGAAACGGATTTAGGTTTTGTACCAGAGAAAAAACGTTGAAACGTATTCTGCGAAACGGTTATGCAGGACCGTACGATACGGACATCGGTTTCTATTAGGAGCAAATGCCAAAACCGATATTCGTTCTGTAAGCTACGGATTTTTTTTAGAGAGTACTCCTCTTCCATTTCGATGGAAGAGGAGTAGTTTTAGGTACATAAGTGCTTTCTTGTAGTATAATAATTCTAACAGTTGCTTCTTGTTTTAGGCTTACTGTCAGCATACAAAGATGATGAGTAGCTGCGTACATGGTTTAGGTCATTTGCTGCTGTTTCGTTATTACCACTTACTCACATGATATTTGATTTTAATTACTTAATGCAAAATAAACCAAATCATCCACAATTAACATCATTTTTACAATATTTTCATAATACATATGGTGCATTTAGTA